GGGGCGAGGTCACCCACTGGAATCCGCCCACTAGGAAGAAGATGGCCTGAGCGAGCCTGATAGACTGGGCCGGGCCCCAGGGCAGGATCCTGCTCCATCTCTTCTCCTCCCAGAGCCAACTGCCCCCTCTTGGAGAAGGGGGCTCGGTGGAGGTAGAGAATCTTCAAGAAACCCTGTTGAAGAGGCCCTGGTTCTAGGACTTGGGGCCGCGGGAGCTGGGGGGAGGGGGGGGCCCGGGCTCCAGGCCAGCTCTCTAAGGGAAGAGCTCACCCCTTTCCTCCCCTGCAGGTGAAAGACAAGCTGGGAGATGGGGGGAAGCTCGGGTGGGGGAACAGAAAAGGGGGGACGGGACGAGGTGACGAACCCTGCCAACCCGACCGATATGAATGGGGATCCTGGCAGGCCTGCCCGATCCCCACGACAAACCTTTTGTGGCCTAAGCCTCAACTCTTCCGGCTGGGACTCACGCCCTCATGCATGAGTCCCTGCCCTTATTTCCAATCTTACTGTAAGGACTGAGGTAGTTCATCCATTCATACTCGTAGCATTCATCATCTGTGATCACAAAAAACACGCGCTCCAGGAGCTTCCTGCTAGTTAAGAAGAACAAGCGCTCTCCTCTGTCAGTCCAGATTCAACCGTTTGAGGTCATCAGCTATGGTGCCGTCAGACCATGCAGGCCTGAGGCTTTAGCCCATCCACAGACCCCTTGGGCGTGTGATCTCTCCCGTATCCTGTACCCTCACCGAGAAGTACCCAAAGGAAGGAAACAGGGAGTTTCGGCTGGTTTACACTCTATGTCTGAATACAAGAGAAACATTCTGCACCTAAACCATCGAGTATCTGGAAGGAAAATGGCTTTTACATCCCCTGGCGTTGATGAGGCTTTCTCTTCAATCTTTCTACAATGTCCTGTCAGGCGGAAATGTTTTCCTTCTATTGGTTTTCAACAAACAGGCAAAACAGTTGTGTGGTCTGAATGGCAAAGCCACCAGGGTCTCCCCCCACGAACACTTCGGGAAAGAAAAGGAGACCTTGCCCCAAGAGAAGAGGTGCCTGAAGGCTCCAGCTCCTCCTGGGGCTCAGCGAGGCTTGGCGCCCTCTGGGGCTGAGGTAGTTAGGAGCACTGACGGTTCCCAGTTTGGCAGAGGGTGTCTGGGAAAGGAGGAGGGGAAGGCACCCTTGAGAGCTAACTGAGGTCCCTCCTCACTGCCAGTCTGCCAGGCCTGAAGGGAACCCCACGGTGCCGTCTCTGCAGTGGGGACAGGGGAGGAGAGCTGTCCACCAGGAGCCTGAAATGTCCCTCCTTCCCCAAAGTGCAACTGGGAACCCAAGGACCCCCTTTTTCCTGCTCCCTAGCCCTTGGCAAGCACCACTCCCAACCCCCCAGGAGCTTAAGAAGAGTGGGTCCTTGTCTTTAGCGGACACTGTCTCCAGGCCCCTCCCCTTTGCAGACAGGCCTAGGAGATGTAGAAAGATGGCCGGCCATTGCTTTTGTCTTAGGAACAGCCTCTCAGCCTCTGTCTGTCTGTCTGTCTTTGGCACAAAGGAAAATGGACACACAGAACCCACTGGAGCATCCTGCCCCAGCGTCCTCTGGGTTTTTACATGGGGTCTCTTCGGCCAACAGGGAGGCATGAGTTTTCCCCAAAAGTGGAGAGCTTGGGGAGAAAATGAAAGCAGAAAGGACTAGAGAAGAGTCAAGGGCCACAGCACTTTCCTGTCCTCAGCTATGGCTCTCTTCTGCCTAGACACCCCCTCCAACAACTGAGGCCAGAGCCCAAACAGCAAAGGCAAGCAGACCCCAGAGGGGGTTAGAGCCTCCACGGTGTGACCAGCGGGCACAGCTTCAAAGTCAGTCAGTGAATCAAACCATTTGGCTTCTTATGTGTTTCAAAGAATTGAAAAAAAATAGATCCTTAAAGAGATGGTCCTTTCATAAAAATATATGTGTGGCGCACACACATACACCTCTTTCTATATATATACACCTTAGGGCAGGAAGCATTTTTTTTTAAAGTTGCTTTTCTCAATACCATCCAAATCTCCCAAGTGCTTTTTGTAATAGTTTTGCTTTCTTACCTAGGATGGGGGGAAAACAGGTGACCAGAAGGGCAAGGAGCTGCCCTAAGATCTGGCCTTCGGGTCACAGGACAACTCAAGACAGGACCGTCTCTTCCCGCCTGCTGACCTCTGACCCCTAATCCGTATTCTTGCTTTCTAGTAAGCCAACTTTCACAATCTTCCTGCTGGGTAAGTCCAGCCACAGTGGAACTTGGCCCAGTCCACGTAAGTTTCCAGGTCCCTTGCCACACTCTCTGATCTCTTCTGGGAGCTCAATCAACCAAAGGAAGAGGGCTCGGGCTGAAGGTGTGAAGGGAGCAGGCCCCCAAGGAATGGAACACTCCAACAATCTCATTTCAGGTACTCTGGGATATTCCCCCACCCCCCAATGATCACTTGAACCGTGTATCAAAGCATGCTTGCTGCAAGAAATCCACTTTAAATCACTAAATGGCCGATGTCTGAACATTGTCTGCTTTGTTTAGGGACAAAGCATGTAGAGCCAGCTGGGAAGTCGGGAGGACCCTTTCTTTGTGTCTGGGACAGGCCTGTTACTGTCCCTTCTGTTCTCTCTTTGGACTAGATGGTCTGGAGGCTATGGGGGCTGTCACAGGAGCATACCAAAGTTAAGACCCTGTCCCAGTCATCGTTACCATTTCCCCTTCCCTCTTGGCTACCCACCACCCTCTATCAAGAATGTCCTACCTAACAGGTTCACTTTTAGTATCAGCCAAATCAACCTGAAGAAGACCGGGAGATGGGGGAGGGCATTCACTGACGATCTGCCTGCCTTCCAGTCTTATGAATGATACAGACTAAGAATAGGTCGGATGGAAACGAAACAATAACCAAAAAATAGACACGGAAAGCACCGCACTGAGAAACCAGGTGGGCCTCCCGCGGGGCGAGAGGGTGGCCTTGTCTTTTTTCCCATAAATGGAATCTTGGCTCCCATAATTTTTAAGAAATACAGGTTTTCTTAAAAGGTTATATTTTTTAGTTATTATTTCTCTCCTCGATAAAACGGAGGCAATATCTTAAAATAACAACAGCACCACTGGTAGGAAAACCTAGCTAGGTCCTGTTTCACCACAGGGGGGGGAGGGTGCCCACGGGCCATCTGGTTAGTGGACACTGCTGTTTGCTCCCCAAGGGTCCAAGCTCTGCCAGATCTTAAATCCTACTTCCAGGTCAGAGATCAGAACCCAGTAAGGTCCCAGGCCTGGGGACCTTTGGGGTTATCCCCTCCTCCCCTGGATCCAGCCCCCAGCCCCCACCCTTCCCCACAGGGCCTGTTCTCCACAGAGCTCCTAAAGTTACTGGCTCATGTTGTAAGAAATTATGAAACATAACTTTCTCATTTTTTTCTTTTCATTAAAAAAATAAAATATTCAAGACTATCAGCTTCTCTTTTGCTTTTCTTTTTTATATAAAATATCAGCAAGCCGCAAAGAAAAAAAAAATCAGAAAAAAAAAAAAGAAAATAAAAAATGAAAAACCAGGGTTCAGGGAACAAAAGGAAATCATTGCTGAGGTAACTTCACACCTTGAGGTAGTTCACTTAGCACAGCACTGCCTGACTCCGCCCACATCATGGTTGCTCGTCACTGTTGTCCTTGCAATGCCAGGAAGAGGGGAGCTCTGTGCATGGGCTTTTCCACACGCAGAGAGAGGCCTTCCTTTCTTCCCAGCACGCATGATAGTATTGTCCAGGGGAGCTAAAGTGCATCACCTGGCTAAAATGCATTACAATCAGTACAGTATTAGGAGGGAGGCCTAGCCTCGCTTAACTGATGGCCACTGTCCTCCGGAAGGGCTAAACTCCCACCAGGATCTTACGGAGCCTGGTAAATTAATAAATTAAGTGTGTTCACCCTTTGTGTACAATGCTGCTGGTATTCTGAAGTTTGCTTTCAGGCATGCCTTTCCTAACGACAATGGCAGTTCATGGAGGCATATGCAGTCAGTTAAATACTCCTCTATAATAACAGAAACAATATTCTCCAATTCACTAAGTTTGCCAGATGATGGCCTTTAAGCTTTCTCGGGAGCTCAGGGTTGGGTGGTAGGTCCCACCACCACAAGGAAACAGTGCCATGGCGGGAAATACACCACAATGCTGCCTCAGCCCTTCTAAGAGCACATGGGTTGGAGGGAGGGTACCTTTGGACCACTCGACTCCTCCATGGAACTGAGACTTTATCAAAGGGAGCTCACACCCCCTTTCCCAGAGCTCATATATCCAATCATTAAAATAGACTTTAAAAAAATATAAAATCCGCCTGAGAATGATAGGAATCAGGGACAGTGGTCAGCCCTCACCCTGCTGAGCACGCGGTACCACCCATGTGTACCAGGGCACCATGCAGGACCCACAGGGTTAGATGGGCATAAATGTAGTGGGGGAATCTCGGTGGGGAAGTCCCAGCTGAGCAGGAGAAATTTCTGTTGTGCCAATTTTTCTAGATGGCGATCTGCAATAGCCCACCCACAAGGGTGTGCTATCTTTTTTCTTTTTGTGATGCCAAGGATGGAACCCAGGGCCTTGAACATGCCAGGCAAGTACTCTGACCACTGAGCTCTATCCTCAGCTCAAGGACTCCTTTTAAACGTGGATCAGTATATATTTTAATTATCATCTCTCCTTCTTCTTTATATCTTGCTGTTTGTTACCACTGGCTGGTTGAGGAAGGATCGGAATTGAAGTACTAATAACAAGTGTTCTCCACAGTCAATATTGTAAACAGAGTTGTGTTCCAGCCCCCCAACATCACCCCATAGTAACAAGGCTAAAACAGTGTAAATGAATACAGGAGGCGCTAAGTAAGGTATTGGGTCAAGGCATTGAAAATAGGAGGAATTTTCATCAAGTTAACCAAGGAGTCAGGTTAGAAAGATTCTGGGGTCAAGAAACAAACCATCCTTTGAGGTTTAGTAAAACCTGAAGGAAATTTTATTTCTCTCCCCCACTGGGGGCTTACCCATCTTTCTGATGGAGGCTGGAGAACTTCCTCAGAATAATCCACGTTTAAAAGTAACCCAAGCTACATCTGCAGCGGTGACATTCCAAGGGTGGCCATGGTGGCCACCTGACTGAATTGGGGGCAAGAGATCAGGATTCCTCACTGGGACATTTGCTCAAGACAGTGGGCAAACCTGATCTCCAGCCAGACCCAAAAGCCCTGATTCCCACTCATTCTCAGGCCTGCTGGGAAGAGCACACTGGCCCTCCGCCCTCCAGTTCTGCGGTCTGCCTGCTGATCTGGAGCCAACGGGACAGGAAGGGGTGGTCACTTCCTCCGTGCCTGGGCCTGGTTGCACTGCCCCTTCTGGTGCTGCTGCTTCACCTGAGCCAGGATGTCTCGGATCTTCCGCTGCGCCATCTGCATGGAGAAACAGGCAAGGATGAGGCCGATGGGGATGCTTTGCGTACCAGCAGCAGAAAGCAAGGGCACCTGGCACTCAACCACCTCTACCGAATAAAGGAAGACCTGAGTCAGGGAGGGGTGGGCGGGTGGGGTGACACTCGGAGATGCTGCTACCGAGGCGGAAATGGAACCGCAGCTCCTAGGCATAAGTAAGCGTCATGATGTCCCCATCATATATTACAGTGGTGGGACAGGTCCCCTATGAAATGGGTGAAGCCCCCGAGAGCAGCTTCCACTTTCAGTCTTAAAGTCCTTCCACTGGGGCTAGAAGGACGGTGTAGCAGTCAGGAGCACTGGTGGCTTTTCCAGAGGACCTGGGTTCATACCCCAGTTCCTACATGGAAGCCAACAACTGTTAACTCTAGTTTCCAGGACAACCCGATGCCCTTTTCTGGCTTTTGAGGGCACTGAGTAAATGTAGTTCACACACACACACACACACACACGCACACGCACACGCACACGCACACGCACACGCACACGCTGGCAAAACACCCATTCACATTAAAAAACAAAACTATAAATTTCTCCCCACTAGGTGTAGTGGTACACACCTTTGATCCCTGCACTTGGGAGGCAAAGGCCAATGGATCTGGGAATTAGAGGCCTGGTGTATGTAGAAATTCTACATCGGGGCCACATAACGAGATCTTTTCTCAAATTTTCCCAGGAATAAGAATAAAGTTTTAGCCAGGCGATGGTGGCGCACGCCTTTAATCCCAGCACTCGGGAGGCAGAGGCAGGCGGATCTCTGTGAGTTCGAGGCCAGCCTGGGCTACCAAGTGAGTTCCAGGAAAGGTGCAAAGCTACGCAGAGAAACCCTGTCTCGAAAAACCAAAAAAAAAAAAAAAAGTTTTAGAAGGGAAACGGACTGCAAAGTGGGATCCACATGGAAGTTTCCCTGGCTGTCTCTTCTCCATAAACCAAGGGCTTGGTTGAAGAGGAAGCTGGTCTGTATTCAGTATTTATGAGTTCAGACCAAGTATGGTAATCCATACACACAGTCAACATGTGAAATGAAGGCCTGAGAGTTCGAGGCCAGTCTAGGCTACATAGTGAATCCTCACGCACGGACACAAGCACAGACACACAAGGGAGGGAAGGGAGAAAGGAAGGAGGAAGGGAGAGAGCTCACTGGCCTTTGAAGCTTTTTATTTACATAGATTTCCACTGTTCTTGTGAACAGCTGAAATGGTGTCGGCAATGCACCTGGAACCGTGTGAGCGGGGATCCACCACCGTCCTTACCAGCCTCGTTTCCCTCATTAGAATAATGCAGTTCTTGTGAGGCTTAACTGAGTTAATGATAGACAAAGCCCGTGAGACAGGGCTAGGTCCAGCATAATCCTAACCCTTAGGTACCATTCCCGAGGCTGTCACTGTTTCTCAAAGATCTTAAAAGCAAGCTACCCGTACCAGGTGCCTCAGCAGAGAGGGTCTTGGGTTGGGCTGAAAGTTCTGGCCCTGCCTGCTCCAACAGCCCCCAAGGGCCACAGCACACTGGTAAGCTGGAGATGTGTACACTGGGACGTGCTGAGGGTTGAGGAGAGGCCCTTTGTCCACCTTTTCCTCCCCCTGCTCAAGGTCAACCAGATCTGAACCTGAGACTGGCACTGCTTTCTGGCTTCAGAGTCGCCCTGTGACAGTGGGAAGGGGATGATGAAGAGTTGCAGACGACACAAAGCCAGGTGCGGTGACGTATCTGCAAGCCCAGCTTTAAGGAGGCGGAAGCAGGATTACTCCGAGGGGAAGAGCAGCCTCATCTGTATGGCAGGCAGAGGGTGAACTGGGAGCAGGAGAGAATCCAGGGGTTTGACTGTTATCACTCCATGGACAAAGTTGAATACTAACTTCCTATCCAGTGCAGACGGGGTTCAGGACAACCGAGGCGACGATGAGTATATACTAGATACACAACCATTATATGTCATACACAATATACTTGGAAACTGATAACGTATTAATTGTGTGCATCCGCACACTTCGTTCAGAAGACCATTTCCAGAAGCCGGTTCTCTCTGCGAACACATGGGTACTGAAGACTGCACTCGGGTTTGTGTTTGGTGATAAGCACTGAAGAGTGTAAAGAGGACCACATTCTCACACTCACTCCTGCAACCTGAACCAGACCAACCAGCCCAGAGCAGGCAGGTATGGGGAGTCCCCAGAGGACCCTGGCTCCTGGGCCCTCTGGAGGTGGGGGGAGATGGTACCTACCTGGCTGGCATAGAAATGCCCGATGATCTTAACGATGACTTGGTCGTTCTCATCCGGGGTCTGGTCTCTGGGCACCACCACCTCGGCCGCCGTCAGGTTCTGCAGCTCGTTCACCTAGGGGCGGGGCAGCAGGCAATGAAATGCACAGGAAGAGGAGGAGGGCAACGCGTGGTGGAATGCTTTTGTTCAGCGCATGAGGTCCTGGGTTCAAGACTCAGCACCACAAAAAGAAAAACAAAAGAGACAGAGTGGGCCCTGAGGGGGAGGGTTGGGTGAATGGCGCCGGGCCTGGGAACTAGAGTCAAGTCAGTGGACAAAGGAGGGTAAAAGTGAAAACAATGGACGAAAGGGGGGTTTTAGCGAGCGAGGCCTGGCGCTGTCAGCCCTCAGAGCTCACCGTTTTGCCGCCTTTGCCGATGACCCGGCCAGCCGCTGAAGCTGGTACCCGTATGTGGGTCTCCAACTTTACTTCCTCCTTGGGACCGAAGAAATTCTCTTCTTTCAGTTTGCCATAGATTCTTCCCTGAGCCTAGGGAGAGGAGGTCATGGTTAGAGCGGCCGGGTATCCAGGTGGAAGGCAGGCACGTGCCCCCGGGCTCCAGTCCAGCCTCTGGCATCCAAGTGGCCAGAACCCTACCGAGGACCAACCAGCTGAGGAGGCGAGTGGTCGCAAAGCCCTGGTGGGTGACTTCCAATGGTTCCCTGGTTATCTGTAATGCTGGAGGCCGACCGTCAGACTACGACCCACGAGTAAATCAATATCCCAGCACCACAGAGGCAGGAGGATCACCATGAGTTCCTAGCCAACCTGGTCTGCAGAACTAGTTCTGGGCCAGCTAGAGTTACATACTGAGACCCTGCCTTAACCTCTTCCCACCTCCCTCCTAAAGAAGAAGTGACTAAATACTTCAAAGGAGGTACCACTCACAGGTTCTGGGATGTGGCAGGAACTAACCCATCACAACCATGAACGGCAACAACTAGCTACTCTGTAGTCTCTCTCCTCACAGATCAAGTGAAGCGGTGGAGACACAAGAAGAGGGGGTGTCGGCACCAAATGCAAACACCTCGGATGCCCTTCTTTCTCACCGTCCTGGGTGGACTGTGAGGCAGTGAGTGGAAATGAACAGAAATTCTGCTTGCCGGCGCTCTGAAGCGCTCCGCAGCTGTGGACCCGTGACAGGAACCTGACGGCAACCAGAAGCTGTCCCAGCCTTTCCCTGCACGTTAGGTTCCCTCCCCTGTACCCACCCTGGAAAAGCAACGTAGACCAAACCTTGAACTGAGCCTCTGGGGGTCCAGTAATGATAACCATCCGAACTTTGGAGTCAGGTGTTTCCGGTGGAGCAATCTACAAAGCACACAGGTGGTCAGAGGGGCTGCTTCCGGAGGAAGACGGAGGCATCGCCATCCCCTCTGGTTCCCTCCCATCGCCCACCCTGAGATAAAGAGAAGAAAAAGCCTCAAACCCAAGTTCCTGTCTGCACACAAGACCTGTGAAGACAGCATGGGCAGCAGCTAGAAGGACCTGCCTCAGTGATACTTCCACAGCAGGACTGCTCCCCGCCACCACCCCATCTGAGGGTTTTAGCAGAGGGCTGTCGAGGGGCAGGGGATTATGAAATGGAGAAGGTAGTGGCTACACCTCTCGGGGTCGGGGAGGGACTCACAAAGCTTTAAATGCCATAGAATGAAACCCATGAATCTGGACCCGTGAGATTAACAGCACTGGTTTTGCTCTCCTGGATCCTGGAGGCAGGGAGCTAAGACAACCAGTACCTGGTGCTCACTGCTAGGCCCCGCCTGCTTCCTACATCCCACACCAGGACACTGAGACTTGACGGAGTCCAGCAAGGGGTCGGGGTATTGGTTTAGGAAGGGGCTGGGACAGGCCGGGCAGCGGTGGCACCCGCCTTTAATCCCAGCACTTGGGAGGAAGAGGCAGGCGGATCTCTGTGAGTTCAAGGCCAGCATGGGCTACAGAGTGAGTTCCAGGAAAGGCGCGAAGCTACACAGAGAAACCTTGTCTTGGAAACTCCCCCCCAAAAAAAGAAAGGGGCTGGGACTGGGTCCATTTCTATTTTGGGCAATATCTCAGCCTGCTGCTGTATGCGTAATACTCTTCTATAGCCTGGAAACCTAGAAGCACTTAAGACACCCACAAGGGACTGGGCTTTCATTCCCCACGTGTGAGGGGAGCTAGAGTTCACACTGGACCCGGAAGATCTCAGGGCAAATCACCTTGATGGAGGCGCTGGCAAACCGCGAGAGCTGTTTGATGTGCTGGCCCTTCTTGCCAATGATGGCGCCCACAGCCTGGGCGGGGATGAACACCTGGACCATCTCCTGCTCCGGAGCCTGCTGCCAGGACAAGAGACTCCTTACTAAAGGACCAGGGAGTGGGGGCGAGGCAAGGCCCAGGAGCCCCTCTACCCTGTTCCCTCACAACCTCCAAAAGAAACAGGTGCGGGTACCCAGCTGCACCCTGGGCCACGGAAGGACACCACGGATCCCTTTTAGCCCCCTCCAGCTAAAGGGAAGCAAAACCCAGTGCAAAGCTGCCACCACACCACCACCACCACCACCACCACCACCACCACCACCACCACCACCACCACAGGAGCTGCTCTCCTTGGAGCTGGCATTCTGGCTGCAGGTCTCGCCTCCCTCCATCCTGCCAGTGTCCCCCTCCCCCCACTCCCGTGGGTCCCCGGTAATAAGACCTTCTACCTACCATGAAGGAGCTATAGGGGGCAGCCCCAGTGACGCTGCTGGGAGGTGGTGGGACGGCACTGGACGAAGCTGGGAAGAGACCTACAGCGGCCAGGTTGAGACCAGGGATGAGGTGGGACTGTAACTGGAGGAGAGACGGGAGGTCCAGGTCAGCTGGCCCACAGGCCCCGGTGAGCCTGGTCTGGGAGCTCAGCTGGCCCACAGACCCCCGTGAGCCTGGTCTGTGAGCTCAGCTTGCTGAGGGGCCTGCTGGGCCCTGGTGTGTGGCTCTGGAGGACCTACAGGAGCCGGCACCCCCAGGCAAGTCAGCTCCCCACAGGAGTTATTTGCTTCTGTCAAAACCTGCCTGCCATTGCGGGTTCTCTTGAGCCATGGAGATGTCCTCACTGGACTAAACTGGTATGTCCGAGCAGGAAGGCAACCAGCAGGTTTCCCATTTGTTTCTGCCACGTTGATGGAAGCAGAACAGGCCCAAAATCTGAGAATGTGATGCCCCTCTGTGAGAAACTGGGACACCTTTCCCTTTGATTCCGGGGGCCCAAGTAGTTGTGACCCTTTCTGCTAAATATCCTATCCCCCATTTCCATTCAAAGTCCAAGATGGGACTGGGCATGGGGAGAACAGAATCCCATTACTGGGAGACAGAGGCAGATCAATCTCTGTGAGTTAGAGGATAGCTCTATTTATCAAGTTCCAAGGCAGCCTGGGCGACATGCTGAGACCCTGTCTCAAACAAGACCAGATGGTGACAAGCAAAACCAGTGGTGGGGACGGGGAGGATGGCTCAGTGGGTAAGAGCACTGAGGACCTGAGCATCAATGCCATGTCCCTAAGCCCAGTGGGGTTTGGAGGAGAGGCAGGACCTGCTGGATTTTCGCTGTTACCCACCTAATTCTAGCCCCTAATTCCAGGTTTGTAAATGACCGTGTCTGGACAGAAGGAGATGAGTGATAGAGCGGGACATGTGATGGCCTCCTCTGGTCTCTGCATACACATAACTAACCCCCCCCCCACACACACACACATACCCTCCTGGGAGCTGGGTGTGGTGGCACATGCCAGTAATCCCAGCACTTGGGAGTCCAAGTGAAGTCTTACCTCAGAAAAAGTTGAAATTGTGACCCTTCTGTCTACTACGGTACACAAGTTTTAGCCAATCTTGGCTAAAGTATAAAAACCCATGAAGGGCTGGAGAGATGGCTCAGAGGTTAAGAGCGCTGACTGCTCTTCCTGAGGACCTGAGTTCAATTCCCAGCAACCACATGGTGGCTCCCAACCACCTGTAATGAGATGTGGTGCCCTCTCCTGTATACATAATAAATAAATAAATCTTAAAAAAAAAAAAAAAAACCATGAAACCCAAGATTATGCCCCAACCCCACCTCAGGAGGCAGATGACGAGCCCTGCCCTAAGTTCAGAGAAGGGTGCCGAGGGGCTAGGGATGTAGTTCAGGGTATAGCTTCTGCCTCTCTCCGGGGCCTGGGTTCGACTCCCTGCACAAACGCAGGAGGATGCCACCTTTCACTCACACTCATGGCGGCCACATCATTCTCGTAGGCCTCTCGAACTTTCTTCATGATCTCTTGCTCCGCCCTGCAGCAGTTCTCAATGGCCCCCTTCACGGTGATGGTCCTCTCGGGGTTATAGAGAGTGAGGTCCTGGAGCCTGGCAGGAGAGCAGGGCAGCGTCAAGCAGTGGGCAAGGCAGGACTGGACCAGGCCCCGCCAGGGACAAGGGCAAGGAGCAGCTGAGTGACAGGGCCAGCGTTTCTAAAGGCTGGCTAAGGTATCTCCAGCCTCAGGTGACCAGGGCAAGGAGCACAGGGCCGGCACGGAAATCCCTTCTGTGGGGACAGAAGCTACTATGAGGTGCGGTGGCCACGCGTGCAGGATTGCTGCAGGCGATCCTTATCGGCGCTGTTTTACACAAGAGTTACCCTGCAAACAGGTCAGTCTCTGAGGGAATGGAGAGGCAGGGTGCTTACAAAGCTAACGTGCACCTTTCACTGGGTCTCCTGAGGCAGCCCAGCATGCCCAGGCTAAAAGGACCACGGTTTGTGCACTCTCACGGTGGTACACCCTAGCTAAAGGCCTAAAGGCCACAACCTTGCTGCAGGCTTCCCTGGAGATGCAGAGGTAGACTGGGCCAAGAGGTGGGGTGTCCCAGCCCTTATCGAGAGGTAGAAAATGATCTCATCACTTCTCCTGTTTGCCTTATGCCAACGGAAGCAGCGCCCGATTTAAGAGGCAGGTACTAAGGCTCAGTGCCGAAATCCCTGGTCCCCCAATCCCCGGGCTCGCCTCGCCTGCACAGGGACCCAGTGAGAGCCTTACGAGGAGATGGTGATCTTTGTCTCCGTGTCCTGCTCCACCTTCTTCAAGTTCCTTCCTTCCTTGCCAATGAGTCGCCCCACAAAGTTATTATGGGCCAGGATCTTCAGGGGAACCTCATCTGCCCTGGGGGAAGAAGGGGGGACAGTCAATCATGCCAACAAAGACTCAAACATGGGGTCACTCACAACAAACAATCCCAGGACAAACCACAAATCGAGTTTCACAAGATTACAAAACTCAGCAGATGAGTGGTTTACGGAGAAATGGTGGATGAGGATGGCCTGTGGGAAGCAGGATGAAATCTGGGAGCCAAAGCTTTCTCTCAACTGTGATCATGGTTTCAACAGGTACTACCATATACAAATCGAAACTCAAACTGTACACTCGAAAAATCACCCAACTGGACACAGGAAAAGCAGGTGCAATAGGATCTGAGAATTTAGCTGAGCTGTCCACCCCCAAGGGGAAGGGGTTGAGGGAGCAGAGAGAAAGGGGAAATAATACACAATTAAGCCAGAAATGGTGGCATATGCCTACAGTCCCAGATACTCTAGGCTGAGGATCCGATGAGCCCAGGAATTCTAGGCCAATCTAGGCAACATGTCTACAAACAACATTTTTGTACTAATTGAATCCCAGTAAAGCTGTAACACGAAAATAACAACTGAGTCGGACAGGGGTGGCAAACACCTTTAATCCAGCACTTAGGAGGCAGAGTATATATGAGTTTGAGGCTAGCCTGGTCTACAGAGTGAATTCCAGAACTTATACAGAGAACCTTGTCTCAAATAAGAAACGAAACAAAACGCCTGCATTTAATCCCAGCACTTGGGAGGCAGAGGCAGGCACATATGGTCTACAGAGTGAGTTCCAGGACAAGAAACCCTATCATGAAAAACAAAACAAATAAAAAAGCCAAACAAACAAAAAACACCCAAAATAGTGTGATGATGTACACCTACTATCAGGGTAGGCAGGAGGACCGTAAGCTCCTAACCCAGACTGTGAAAGACTCTCTCTTTTAAGTGTGTGTGTGTGAGAGAGAGAGAGAGACACAGAGAGACAGAGGGAATGTGTGAAGATGCCCATGGATGTCAGAAAGGGGGCACTGATCCCTTAGAGCTTGAGTTTCAAGTTTGTGAGCTACCCAACATGAATGGTGGGATCCGAATTCTGGTCCTATACTAGAACACTATCCGCTCTTAACGGCTGAGCCGTCTCTCCAACTCCAGAGCCATTTAAAGAAAACAAAAAGAAACTGATTGTAATCCCAGCACTTGGGAGGCAGGATTACAGGAGAGTTCAAGGTTATCTTGGGCTATAGTGAGATCCAGCCTCAAACACTGCCACCCACACCAAAGAACCCCAACTCAGAAGGTATGGGAAGTGAATCCCCGGTACTTCTTTGCATTAGTGGGGCCCACACCCAGGTCCTCATGTATGCAGGCATCTACCTCACGTCACTGTGCTATAGTTCAAGCCCTGCGTCATTTCTGTCTCCGTGGGGGCTTTAGATTTACTGATAGATGTGTTGACACACACAAAAAAATTATAATGGTATAGAGCAGCACTTCAGCTGACCCTCTGTGCCGACACACGCACACACACTCACCTACACACACTCCCTCCATCTATGTGGACTCAAACATACACACATCCATATACATGGACACAAATGGAGACACTGAGCACATAAAATTTCTAGATGATTATACAAGGAAAAGATCTTAGAGTCTATGTTTCTGCGCCGTTTGGGACTCTCCCCTAATTAATCTCTGTACCGTTGCTATTAGCAATTGCAAGCAGAGGCTGGGTGGGGTGTGGCCCAGCAGCCAAGCGTCTGCCTGGCAAGTGTGAAGCCTGAGGCTTGACTCAGCACAGTAAACAGCAAAAGAAAAAAAAAGGGGTGGGGGGTGGGGAGGGCAGCAGTCCCCAGAAGTGCAGCCGATCTTACGTTTTGGTGTCCTTCGCCTCCTTATGCATTATCTCCAAGATCATCTTACAGGCCGAGGAGCAGCCTTCCGGAGTTGAGTGCACGCTGATGGCCTTCTCGGCAGCTCCCGCGTTCTCCTTCCTGTGCACGTCTATCCTGAGGACCACGAGGATAAAGCCCGTTAGTTAGCGTGCCTCCAATAACACCGACTTGCCCACCTCTTATCAAAGCCCAGAACCCACTCTCCTTGGAATGGGGCCTGTCAAGGGTAGAACCGGGAAGTAAAGAGAGGCCAGGGAACCGTGGCGGGTGCTGCTCTGCCAGCCTGTCGGGGTGGCTGGAGAGGACAATGGCGAACACCCCCCAGCCCAGCTGCTGGCTGGGGACACTCCCAGGTGTGTGTGGCTGTGAAGCTGTTTTCCCTTCTAGTGTCCTTTTTCAAACACTGTGTCAGGGAGAGACACACTGTCCCAACTACAAGGAAATAAACTATTTTCTCTGAATAAGGACACAACCGAGAACACAACCTGTTCTTTCCCATAAGCACCGATCGATCGTCTATAAAGATAAGGGAAGTGTGAGGTGGGACATAATTATGACTTGTGGCAAAGGACCCTGACTTTAGCCACGCTGTGGCCATCAAGTGGCCACTTATCACAGAATACCTGAGGAGTGAGGGACTCAACTCACAGGACTAGGTTTCCTGGAGCAACTTGATACAAGGAATTATGGTAATTGTTGGTGATAGTGTACGGCCCAGAGACCCATTCTGTCTCCCGTTTGCCCAGCCTCCACACACAGGTGGTATGGCAACAGTGACCACGAACCAAACAACAATTCCCAGGAGCCTCTCCGGGGCCCGATCTGTTTCCTGTACCCAGCCTCCCTCTCCCAGTACTCACTTGGATTGAGTCTGTTTTGTGATGTTGCGGATGGTGGCACCCTCCTTGCCAATGATAGCGCCTACATACTGCGTGGGAACCAAGAGCCGGAGGGGGATGTCTACTTGCTGCTGCTTGGCCGGAGCCCCCGATGCCACAGGCGATCCTTGCCGGGGCTGGCCCCGAGAGCCAAAGCCTCCACGGCGCCCGTTCTCGGGACCCTGGGCTATCTGCTCATCAGGTATGTAGGAGACCTTCAGGGCATGGTTCTCCAGCTGGTGGCCATTGAGCTTCATAATGGCTCTGGGGACAGAGAGAAGTCCAGCGGTCACTCCAACCATGTCCATCACATCCAGGGCCTCGTTCCACAAAGCACCGGCTGGGCTGCAGCTGGGACCACACTGGGGACCACGCTGCAGATGGGGCGCTAACCACCTGTCTGCCACCCCATCTCCAGGGAATCTTCCAGTCTAGACTAGGGGAAAAGTCATCAGTACAGCAAGGCCTCATGCTTTTCCACTTAAGACCACTGGAAAATGTTGAAGCAAGAAAACAAAAACAAAAACAAAAACCAAAATGGGGCAAAACCCTGTGACAACCAGGTAGGGCTAGAAACAATCAGTGTACACAGCGTGTGCTCTGTCCACCCAGGGAGTGAGAACTGTAAATGCTGGACCCAAGGGCGAAGGAGCTGGGTCCTGTGGTGGTGGTGGTGGGGACTCCTGGGTGGGGACAGCGGCTGGGCTCCTAACCATCCTGCATCACACACTGGAGCAGCAACCCACACCTACAATCCCAACGTTCGGAAATAGGGGGTAGGAAAATCAGGAGTCCGGGGTAGCCCTTGGCTATGTGAGTGAACTGGAGGTCACTATGGTCTCAAAAAGGAAACACACTTTTGATCAACCTTCGGTTTTTTGTCTTTTTAATGAGGCAGGCCCCCCTCATAACCAATAGATGGCGCCATCGACACATACAGGACTCTGCAGTCAATCTCCTCTCCTCGTTGACCCCCCCTCCCCATTCATTTTTATGGGTAAATTTCTCACTTCTGAAACAAAACATCAACGAAACATGGGCCCTGAAAAGGCCTTTTGTGGGATCCAACACCAAAAGGCAGCTGAGGATTCCAGCCTGCCTGGACCTACCCACAGGGGTCTGAGTAGAAACCATCTCCAACACCCCTCTGGAGACCCCCAGCGCCACTTCCGAGGTACTCACTGCCTGGTCTGCTCCCGGTTAGAGTAGGTGACGTTGACCACGGCTGTTTCACTTTCTGTGTTCACTGTAGAGACAACGGACCGCCAGAGTTAGCACTGCCAACAAACTCAAGCCTGTTTGTAGGCGAGCAGGGGACTGCCGAGCCTAGAATATACTCAGAGGACAAGTGAAAAGCAGTTCACTGGAGACCCGCCCTCCTTCACCGGAGACCCTGGGAGCCAGGCTGGCGAAGGTTTTCCTGCACCCACCACACACATCTCCACTCTGGAGGCAGACTCACCCTAGGAAAGTCCAACTAGCAAAAAAGCAACAGTTGGTGGGAGAGATTAGACAGTTACAGAGGTACCTGCCACAAAAATGGCCTGGGTTTCCTCTCAATGCCTGAAGTGACTTGGGACGACCTAAATCCATTCTGTAAGCTTGGATATCCAATAAAGACACATTTCCCAGAGAAGGAATTCCAGGCTGCAGCATTCTAAACATCTTGAGAGTGGGCATGGGGCACACTGGGCTACCAGTTATGGGTCATAAGAATCAATCCCATCCCAGAGTTTGGATTTGTTGGTTACCACCTTACTTTTAATTAATTTTGAGTCACTGGAAATTGAACCCAGGGCCTTTGCACATGCTATACAACTCTAGTATTGACCTACACCCTCAACCTTTGGCTCAGTGAGACAGGGTCTCACTCAATACCTCAGGCTGGCTTGCAGCTCACTCTATAGCTAAAGGCTAACCTTGAACTCACCAGCAGGACTAAAACTAACCCACTTCAGTGATGGGAAGTTGTTACATACAAGACAGAAGAACCTCAGGCCAAGCATGATGGTGTGCACCTGCAGTCTCAGAAAGATCGGGAATTGAGGACTGTACTGATAAGGAAAGCTTTGTCTCAAAATATACCTCAGAGATGGCTCAGTGGCTAAGAACCCCCAGGACCCGGTTCGATCCCAGAACCCACAAGGTGGCTTACAACCTTCTGTAATTCTACTTCCAGGAGATCCAATCTGGCCTCTTCGGGCACCGTACACACGCGGTGGAGACACACACAGATGGAGGCCGACACCCACACACATGAAGTTAGCAGTACCGAGTAAGGGCTGGTGCAGACAGCTCAGTGGAAAGCTGGCACCTGAGTCCCATCTCTGGGCCCCACGTGAAAACCACGCCCAAGTTGTCACCTGACTTCCACAAGGTGGGCACGGCATGTGTGCGTGCACACACATAAGCACAATAAATGTAAAATAAGGGGGCTTGGGCTGGAGAGATGACTCAGCGGTTAAGAGCACCGACTGCTCTTCCAGGGGTCCTGAGTTCAATTCCCAGCAACCACATGGTGGCTCACAACCATCTGTAATGAGATCTGGTGCCCTCTTCTGGCCTGCAGGGACACATGCAGACAGAACACTGTATACATAATAAACCTTAAAACAAGTGTTTGAAGGATAATTGCCAAGGCTACGCAGTGTGACCCTGTCTCAGAAAAAGTAAATAAAACTTATAAAAATTTTAAAAGAAAGTGACGTGGTCATGCACACCTACAATTCTGGCACTCAGAAGGCCCGAGGCAGGAATCCTGTCAAGACCAGCCTTTGCTACACTGTAAAATAAGCCAGTCTGGGCTAGAGGGAGAGCCTTTCTCAAATAAACCAGTAACTGGCATTTAAAGCGGGGTGCAGCAGAACACACTAGCAGCCCCAGCACACCCAGAGGATAAGGATGGCCGAGATCGCCAGGGCAGCCGGGGCTGACAGTGAGTGTGAGCCAGCCAGGACCACACTGCAAGGCTCCGCCTAAAATGAAAAGAAACCGTGACATCTGAGCTGGATGTGGTGGCGGAGGCCTGAAACTCCTGAGCAGGACTGTGTTGGAGGCCACTTCGGCTGGTGGGAGCCTTGAGCACATCTGTGGGATCCTCTTCATTTTTTTTTAAACTATTTTAAGTGTCTGTGTGTGTGTGTGTGTGTGTGTGTGTGTGTGTGTGTGTGTGTGTGTGTGTTCAGATGTGGAGGTCAGAGGACAACTTTAGGAAGTCAGCTCTCTCCATCATCACGTGGGTTCCAGGGACAGATTCAGGTGTCAACCTGACCGAGCCTGTCCGTGTCAGTGGCAGATGCTGCTCAGAGCGGCCCCCTGGTCTGTGTAACTCATAAGTCCAGCGGAAAACATGCGTGGGTAACCGCGATCAGCTCATTCCGCTGTGTTCTGGCATTTAAGATGAAAGGCAAGTTAGAGACTAGAGCAGAGCAAGCAGCGCTTCACTGGTGGGCAGGCAAGGTCTGTCATCATCTGTCAGCACACACAGCTTGCCCCTTCCCACAAGGAATTTAGAAATGAATATTTAAACCTCAGACAAAGCAATGGCTGCTCCTTGAAGATTTCCAAAAGTGGGCTGCTGCACTACTCTCAAGCAAGAAAGTGGCCAACAGGGGGCGCTCGCTCACCCATGCACCCTAACTGGCCCCAACACAGACTGGAATACTATTCAGTCATAAAAAAAATTGAAAGCCCAGCCGGGCAGTGGTGGTACACGCCCTTAATCCCAGCCTCAAACTCACAGCCTGGTCTACAGAATGGGTTCCAGGACAGCCAGGACTGTTTCACAGAGAAACCCTGTCTCAAAAAAAAAAAAAATAAAATAAAATAAAATAACTAAAGAAAGAAAAATAAAGAAAGAAATTCCATCAGCGGTGACTAGATGGAACCAGAAATGACTAAGTTAAATTAAATGAGCCAGGCTCTAAAAGACAAGAAACTACAAGCTCTCAAGACTGTGGAGGCAGAGAATGGAAGGGAAAGGGGAAAGGAAGGTGGAGATAAGGGGGGGAAAGGGGAGGAAGTAGGAAAAGGAGGACTGGGAGGGGAAAGGCAGTCTCGCTGAACTGAGAAAAAGATGGGTATGGGTGCCAAGGCCTGGGAGAGTAATGGGGAAGGGAAGCCTGGGGAGAGGCAGCCAAGGAGACTCTGACAGCCATAGACCACACTGCACCATGGACTTGAGAGAGCTACAAGATGTTCAATGTTCTCACCGAAGAGAGCTGACAAGGTGAGGAGCCGGGCAGGCTTAACGACAGGATACACCTATGCATCCCAACACCCATGAACATGGAATGCTCTCACGTGCTGGCTTTAAAAAAAGATCTAATAACAACCCTACGTCCAACCGAACCCCGAGCCCATCTTCTCTGCAAGAATTTACACCCCTAGAAACAGAGGACCCTCAAAAACCACAGCTAATTTTGACTTAGAATTCCTCTTCCTCTTCCCTCTGTGGGCACAGCTGTCAAAAGATTCTGCTTACAAAAACTATTAACAAATAAACCCTGTTTGTTTGGGGGGGGGTGCTGTGTCCCCAATCCCCTAGAAGATCTGTCAGTCAACATATACTGATGAGAGAGTGATTCAGGGGGGGGGGGTGTTGGTTTCTCCGGGTAGCCCTGCCTGTCTCAGAACTCGATCTGTAGAAACTCAGAGATCCACCTGCCTCTGCCTCCCAAGTGGGGAGATGAAAGGTGTGCGCCGCCACCACCACCCGGCCGTTGTGTGGATTTTTAAAACAACTTTTCAATTATTTTTCTTTTATGTGTAAGGATGTTCTGCTAGCATGTCCCCTTGAAGGTCAGAAGAGGGCATCAGATCTTCTGGAGCTGGAATTACAGATGCCTATGGGCTGCCTTTGGGTGCTGGAAATCAAACCTGGGTCCTTTGGAAGAGCAAACAGTGCTCTTAATCACTGAGCCATCTCTGCAGCCCTCCACTCCGGGCCCCCCCTCCCCAAAGCTCCTTTTATTTCATGCTGCTTTTACCTCATTTTTGTTTTTCCAAGACAAGGTTTCTCTGTGCAGCCCTACCTGTTCTGGAACTCACTCTGTAGACCAGGCTACACTCAGGAGATATTTGCCTCTGGAGTGCAGGAATTAAAGGCGTATACTACCACTCCCGGGATTTTTTTTTTTCTTTGTAAAAAACAAGGTATCTCTATGTAATCCTGGAGCTTGATACATAGGCCAGGCTGGCCTCAAAACTCAGAGATCCTCCTGCCTCTGCCTCTCAAGAGCTGGGACTAAATACACCCAGCCCCCAACAAGTTTCCATTCTTTTTGTTTGTTTGTTTGGTTGGTTGGTTTTTTGAGACAGGGTTTCTCCGTGTAGCTTTGCGCCTTTCCTGGGACTCACTTGGTAGTCCAGGCCGGCCTTGAACTCACAGAGATCCACCTGGCTCTGCCTCCGAGTGCTGGGATTAAAGGCGTGCGCCACCACCGCCCGGCTCAAATTTCCATTCTAAAACTTCTACTGAAACACTGAAATTCCTGAAAGCCTGGGGCTCAGACTCAAGGAGAAAGGGTGATAAATCAGATGTGGTGGCCCACACCTTTAATCCCAGCACTCAGGAGGCAAAGTTTAAGGCTAGCCTGATCTATACTCCAAATTCCAGGATAGCCAGGGCTACACAGTGAGGCTCTGCCTTGAAAAACCCAAAACGGAAAAATACAAGAGGGGTGTCCAGACTTCCTACCACATAGTAGTCCAGTTTCATGGCTCCACACGCGCACGCTTTGGGCACATGGGGGGGGGGGGTTGCCCAGGCTCTCTGCTGCTGCACCCACTGTCTGGACCTTCCCGGTGCATCTGATCACAGAACTGCACGGTGCTGAAGCCACCCAGCTCCCTGCACACTCACTTGCACACTCACTCACCCTTGTCCCAGCCTCACCTTGCTCACAGTTCTCCACTGTGCCATACTGGGCCAGCAGGCTGTCCAGCACCTGAAGAAGTAGAACACGGGTGAGTCCCCCAGGGTCGGACGCCCCTTGCCCCAGCGCTCTGGAGCACCAGCAGGAACTAGACATTCTGATCACTTTTCAGTTCATCCCCTCAGCCTCCTACTGCTGATGGCAACTCCAGTGTCTGCAAGGATGTACCTGGCTGTGTGCTAAGGGACTCTCTGAGGCAGACTACTGTAATAAAGTTCTAAAACTCTCAGGGGCACTCTCCCTAACTCCCTAATGCCTCTTGTCCCAGGGTGTGAACAAAAATGAGACCCTTCCACCCCCACACCCAGGGGAGACCTCTCTAGTCATTTCTACCCACTCAGAAGGACACCGAGCCTTGTCTCCGTCTCCACCCCACTGTGCGTTTCCCCAGACACTTACTTCCCATCGGAGCTGAGGTGGAATGTTTCGGATCTGAATTTTCCGACTCCTGAAATGAAAGAAAAAAATAAGTTAGAGAAAATTCCAGGTGCTTTAGGCCCCCATGACCTGGCAGTTTCTAATCTTTGTCCCAGCTTGTCATCTCACCATAATTGTAGAAGGGTGGTTTGTTCCCCAGTGCTGGGGACTGAACTCATGGTCTGGCACACGCTAGATCCCCAGCGGTGGTGGCACACGCCTTTGATCCCAGCACTCGGGAGGCAGAGGCAGGCGGATCTCTGTGAGTTCTGGTCTCCATAGTAAGTTCCAGGACAGCCAGAGAATAGCAACCCAAGAGGAATACAGACTTTTAGAGTAGGCGAGGCCTCACTTTATGGACCCAACTACTAACAGGACCATGAGAGGAACACAGAACCGTACGTGCTCAGCGTAATGGCAGCCAAACATTGTACATGATGTTGCTACAACTTAGCTTTTCCAAGTACCCTTCTGTCCAGCACCACAACAAAGTCAAGGGGCTGGAGAAATGGTACATGATCTCTTACAGACCTGGAGTTTGATTCCTGGTGCCCTGTGAGCCTGCTCACAACTGCGTGCAACTCCAGCTCCAGGGAATCCAATGCCTTGGCCACCTCAGGCACCTGACTCACGGGTACATACCCACATATACACAATCACACAAATAAATCCAAAGTCAGGTAAGGCAGTAACTATTCATTAATCCAACACCTCTTTAACTGGCACCCATGTCAAGCTCTACTTTGCTCCTGAGGTTGGGGCACACAATGAACAAAAGAGTTGGGATGCCTGGCCCAGGTGCTCACACCGTATTAGGGGAAACAATATATGTGAACAATTACATAAGATAATAGTACAGTGGTTAAGCCCTTGGCACAACTAGAGATCTAAACCACTTATTAGCACTGATCTTTAGAAGATTATTTAACTTCTGTGAGGCCCAATCTCCCCTCAACAGGGATAATACCTATTCACAGGTGGGAGGTGGCATTAGATAATATTTGTAAAGACTTGGAGTGAGTCCTTCATCTGTAACAATAGATGCATCTGGGAGTGGGGAAGGTTCTCCAGAGTGATTAACACATGAAGCCGGCACCAGGAGCACCTTCTCCCCCGGGTGACTGCACTATACTTACTCCACCCCAGCTTTCAATAGCTCGGAAAAGAAAAGATTCCCCTTGAGGATCGCTTTCAGGTTCAGGGCTAACTCCCAAAGCAACTGCTCACCACCCAAATCAATACCTTAATCCTGGAGTTTAAGACATTTCAATTGACTTGATGTGTTAGTCAATTGTCATTTAGATCTCTGTAGATCTTTGATCTTGCACAAACCCTTAGTTCAAAGACAAAGTTTTGGGGGTTGGAGAGATGGCTCAGCAGCTAAGAGTACAAGATGCTCTTCTAGGACCAGGGTTTAATTGTCAGCACGCACAGGGTGGGAGAAGGGATCAGACGCCCTCTTTTGGGCACTGCATGTCATGCAGGCAAAACACTTATGCACATAATATAAAATGAGTTAACATAAAGACTTGTTTAAGTCACATGACCTCAGGCCTCAGTGACCTATCAAATGAGCTTTGTTGGCCTTGGCTGTCCCAGGTCAGTCTCTTTACCAAGGCAGAATCTTCTCTGTGATTTCTAGTCTAAAATTCCGAGATTGGCATGTCTTTACCCATGAACTACAGCAAGGGAACCTTAGGATGAAACAGCTAAAGAGCTGGGAAGGAGCCGGGCAGCGGTGGTGCACGCCTTTAATCCCGGCAGTCCGGAGGCAGAGGCAGGAGGACCTCTTTTAGTTTGAGGCCTGGTCTGCTCAGTGAGGTCCAGGACAGCTAAGGCTACAAAGAAAAACTCTTGTCTCAAAAAGAAAGAAAAAATAAATAGCAAGGAAAGGTGGATCTGCTTGGAAGAGGATCTTTGTGGCTTATGAACCTGACCTAACAAAGTTAGATTACTAGATATAGTGAGGATCAGAAAACAAATCCAGCTGGGCCTGAAGGCACAAGCCATGATCCCGACACACAGGAGTCTAAAGCAGGATTGATACATAGAGTAGGGCAGTCCTTGTGAAGGCAGCATTAGAGAGAGAGAAAGAGAAAGACAGAAGACAAAGAGATGTAACTCAAGGGGCACAGTACTTGCCCGGGACGCACAAAGCCCTGAGTTTGAACTCCAGCACTGTAAAGAAAGGTAGCTATGGTGTCAAATGCCTGTCATCCCAGCACCCAGCATCAGAAACACTCTCTCTCTCTCTCTCTCTCTCTCTCTCTCTCTCTCTCTCTCTCCCTCTCTCACACATACACACACACACACACACAGCCATCACGCCCATTTCTGAGTCCATAGACCTCATTCCACCAGGCACCAGGTCCAAGGATTGGCCAAAAAGAAGCTGTGGCCCCTTGTAAGGTTCTCACAAAACACATCTGCTGACCAAAAAGACACATTGGCTATTTTCCACTTGAAGAATTGAGAAAGAAATGAAGACTGCCTTGTTTAAAAGCAGGAATGGTCCAGCCCAGCACACCTCCTTCCAGCAAATCCTTTGGATGGAGGGCAGAAGATGATGAGGACTGCCTGCTTGGGAGTCTAAGTAATAGGCATAATAAAGCAAACCCTACCGAGTACAGGAGCCTAGTTTGGAAACAGTCCACTAGTGCAATCCATGGTGAAAGGCCAAAACTTCCCTCCTGGATCTGGTTCAGGGTCTTCTACTCAGGAAGGGCAGAAGAGAAGAGGGTGATAGCAGAAACCAGATCTCTGCAAGGACGTTAATCCAGATCCAGAAAGCAATGGCAGGCAGATCGGCTGGAATGTCTGGAATGTTACAGGAGAGGGAGGGAGGGGGAGGAGGGCAAGGCCACCCAACCAATGAAAGAAAGACATCCCAGCAGCCTTCCCTCACCCCTCTAGGGCACACACCCCACCCTGGGAACCCACTCTAGGCTTCTCCTAGGCTTCCTTTTCAGCAACCCCCTCCCCGCCCCGATTAAAACAGAGGGGGGTGGCCTGGAAGAGCTGAAGCATCCAAGGACCTTTGTCTTCTAAGCCTGGTTTTCCACTGCGCCTGGTGCCCTCTAATTCCTTTCAGGCCCAAACCGCACAAGGAAGGCAATGCTGAGACCTGTAACCTGAATTCCCTTGCTTACATTTCAACCCCCAGGACAACTCATTCATCCCACAGAGGGGAAGCCCAGAGTTGGCTGATTTAGGCTGGTGTGCCGAGGGCTCAGACTCTAGGCTGTTCTCAACCGGTGGGTCAAAGGACCCTTTCTCACAGGGCTCGCCTAAAACCACCGAAAAGCACAGCTTTAACATGATTCATAACAGTAGCGAAATTACAGTTATGAAGAACACGTTATGGTTGTCACCACGACATGAGGAACTGTAGAGGGGCCGGCACCGGGAAAGTTGAGACCCCACTGGCTTAGAAGCTCCTGATGGAGGGCGAGCAGACAAACTCCGATTTCACTCCATGTTGGTTTCTCCTGGTGGAAACTAACTCCAATAAAGCCCTTGTTAGTACTTCAAAGAAGACCAGAAGGTAGGGTGGGCAAGCACCACTGGGTGGGAGAGACCGTGACAGCCACCGCAGTATTTCAGTGGGTTCACAATGACGGGGAATCTTAGAAAGAACCACTGCCTATGAGCCCTACCTGACCAAGTCCTCCCCTCCACACCACCGCTTGTCCGACCTATGTACGACCTATGTATGACCCTGCTCCCATAACCAGGCCCCACCACGACCAGGTGGAGCAGTTTAGGCCCCACAGGTAAAAGGGCACCACATACAGCTGAGCACTTAGTGCCTGGAGGGCCAAGCCCTATTTCGGCAAGGAGAGAGAACCAGGAGAAACTCAGTAACTGCCCCCATCCTCCAGCGGCTAAACCCGGTGAAGAGTATGAACAGCCAGCAATGGCCATTAAAGGCAACGGGTACGCCAGCCAAGACGCTTCCCGAGTGCCAACAGCCTGTAGCTTTCATGTCCTCTGCCTGTTCTGACCGTCAGGGACCCAGCCCTGGAGGGGCAGCTCAACGGACATATGGTCATCAGGGAAACTCAATTCTAGACCTCAGCCACGCCGACCTGCGGATGTGAGGACCAGTCAGGAGGGACAGGTCAGGGAGATTCAGCAGAAAGACAGATGTATCAGGACATCCATTACATAGCATATACACTTGGGCTGGGGGGGGGGGATGTGCTGAGACTTAGATGCCTGCTAGATCCATCTTACACTCCTCCCACTGCCCAGGCCATCAGTGGCTTTGCTTGACAACCCAGGGCCCTGAGATTAAGAGGCTTAATGAATGTCTTGTCCACACAACCACTAAAGCCAAAGCCAGGAGTTGAACCCAAACTGACTGATTTCCATTTTGTTTGTGTGGGTTTTTTGCTTGCTTTTTTTGTTTTCTGTTTTTGTTTTTTTGTTTTGTTTGGGTTTTGGTTTTTCGAGGCAGGGTTTCTCTGTGTAGCTTTGCGCCTTTCCTGGA